TGTTCTGGCTTCTGTATGCTGTTGCTCTATCTGGACATAGTTAGTCGGCATTTTCTTTTATAGTCACAGTCGTGAGTTTTCTGCCTGCCCTCAATCAATTCCTCAAGCTTCTCAAACCTGTTTTACCATGAAACACAAGACATAATTGTCTTTGGTGGGGCTTCTCACAGACTTTTCAGCTTAGCACCAACCCATTACATTCTGCTAACCACAGTTTGGAAAAAAAAGCGGAAGCTGCAATGTAAGAGCCACATTACAAAACTGGTCTTGAAGGGGGCAATGTTGAGAAGAAAGGAAAGTAGAACATGAACTGACGTACATACAGCATCATTAAGTAGACAAGGAAGTCTTTTGCATGGAATACTCTAGTAGAAATTATTATCAAAGCATCACCCAGGTGCTAATCGTTACCCCCCCCCCCAAAAAAAAAAGAAAAGAAAGAAAAAACAACAGCTAAATTACAGCTATTCATTGGTATCGACAACGGGGGAGGAACGTTGACGGAATTTCATGACGTGATCAAAATCGATCTTGAGGCGGGTTTTTTTGGGGGGGAGGGTTGGGGGGGGGGGCGTTCTGCACCCGTCGCCCTGAAGTCACTACACAGGGGTTTGGGACATAAGAAGAAGAATCCATGTCCATGGGAAGGGCAGCAAAAGGCTTAATAGTAGCAGACAAAGTAGTCGCCACTTATTGAAGCTTTAATAGATACAGGCCTTTATATATTCTATTCATTATAAATTTAAAATTTTTAAATTATTTTTTTTTGGAGGGGAGGCTATGTCAGGCACCTGCGCTTCTCTCACTGTTTGCGCTACTGTTAAAAATTACTAAACTGGGTTATCAGTTAATTGGAACTGAAAACCCCCCCCAACAAACTGTCTGAACCTCCTATCTAAAAAATTTCTGGGACAAAAACCATACCTTACGCATTTTAAAAGTATCTAGGCAGCGTAAACAAAAATCTTCAAACTATTTGTCCCCGACTCATTTAAAGAGAGCGAAGTCCTGTCAAAATTGTTTGGGTAAAAAAAAAATGCCACTTGGAATAGGCCTGTATCTGCAAGGTTAATATTTTTAGAACAGAAAAAGGATATGTCGAAGTAGAGGGACTTTGTTACTTGGGAATACGGCGAAAGTTGGGTTTTGTTTTTGTTTTTGTTTTTGTTTTGTTTTGTTTGTTTTTTAATTTAATTTTTCAAACCCATGGCATTTTATCTTCTTCTAAATCTTTTACATAAGATTCATTTTCTCCGTGTCAGTGTAATCTTCAAGCTTTAGATCTTCATTAGTATCGATCTTGTACTGCCATTATGTGTGTGTGTATGTGTGTGTTTTTGTGTGTATGTATGTATGTGTTTGTGTGTGTGTGTGAGTGTATGTGTGTGTGTGTGTGTGTGTGTTTGGGTGTGAGTGTGTGTGTGTGTGTGTGTGTGTGTGTGTGTGTGTGTGTGTGTGTGTGTGTTTGTGTATGTGTTTGTGTATGTGTATCTGCCCTGTCAGTCCTATCGTCTATTCCATCTTTAATAATACAGCGGAATCCTGTTATAACGAGAGGGAGGGGACCGGAGCAAAATAGGATACGCGCTATAAGGGATCCAGTATTACATTCAAGGGAAACTGTAAAGTAGGCCTAATCTATCAGTTTAGTGTTCTCTTTATTGCCTTTTGCTATCTCCCCTGATGATGATTTTGTTTCAATATGACGTCTAGGTCTGACTTGATGAAAAATCGAATCAGGTTTCTTTTCTAGCGCTAGATCTAGCGATGTTGACTGACAGCTCGGCGCTGGCGATCAGAAAGAAAAAGCTCTGGGCTAACTCGCTCGCTGTGTTTTCCCCCACCCTACCCCACCCTGTGGTGCATTCCGTCTGCTCGCGCACGTCACACATTCGCTCCATCCATCACATTACTGTGACCCACAGAATTCTACACTAAGTGTAGAATTCTGTGCTGTGACCTCTCCATCCCCGCATCGGAGAAGTGAGAGGTGTTGTAAGCCTTGATAATCTAAACTAGGCTTACTCTGGCCTATCACGCGATGCGTTCTGCTTGTCTGCACATGCCACACCCTCCCTACTTATGGTCGCCCCGGCCTTCATTGTTAACACACATGGGCTCTCCCATTATTTGTTTCGCAAGATCCCGAACAAGTTTCTCAACTGGCGAGGTTTTGCATTATAATGTATAATTGGCCTATGCACTGTGCACAGCAGCAGCAATTTTCGCTATAACCGACTCGAGTGTTTGATAGCGTTATAGCAGTATTTTATTTACAAAGGTAAAGAGGAGAAAAAAACGGGGTTTTAAAATAGTGTCTTTATAACAGACTTCTCGTTTTTTTCCGGACTCGTTATAAGTGGACCCCACTGTACTGTTCACAGACTGAATAATTAGTGTCTCTGGAGCACTAGCATGATATTAATAGCATTTACTTTTACACTTTTTTCATTGAGGGTAGCTTCTTTTCTAAATTCTAATCATAAAGCTTCAAACGAATAAAATCCTCATCATAACCGTTATGAGTTTTTCTTCTTTCATTACTTTCAACTTTATCTTCATAATCTGTTCCTTCTAAATATACAACCTATGCATTCTTTGAGAGTCAGTATAAAATAATTCTCAGCGTCGATCGGTGCGTTGAAATATTCAGGGCAAGCAAAACAGCCAGCAGCAGGGTGGAGCGGGGTGATGAGAAGGGTGGTGTGTTTGCCCACACAGCAGTGGAGTGTAGCGTATTGAAGGGGATGGGTGAAAAAGCACATGCACACACACACACACACACACACACACACACACACACACACACACACACACAAATACACGAACATGCAGATGAATGTGTTTTTAAAAATCTAAACAAGAAGGTTTGGAAAATAAGATTCTAAATAAAAGACAATCAGTTGAAATCACCCCCCAAAAATGCAACAGCTACCTAAGCAACAGAGCCCTTACCCTGTCTATACTTGAAGAAAGATACCTCCGCAAAGTATAGAAAAGGATCTATACAGATGTATCTGCCACCGATGCGGTGAAAAGATGGGGAGCGGAGGTGTACATATTATTATACATGTGCATTCAGTTTCCAAATGGACGACTCCAAGCAGAAGCAAACCAAACCGAGCAGCACTGATCAAACTACAAAGCAGAGACAGATGCTCCAATACATGCGGCAAACATCATCAGGGATGTGGCAGACCCCTAAATTCATAGATGCCATCTCAGTACTGAAGGCAATGATTGCCGACAAAACTCCCAAGGCTGCAAGAGTTGACAGAGAGCATCCTATGCCTGAGGATCAAGCTGCAGTGGATTCCTTCGCACTATGGTGTCTTGAGGAACGAACAGACGAACAGGATGGCAAAACGAGGTAAAAAGAGCAACAGACAACAGCATTAACTACCCAGAAATGATAATTCATTAAAAAAAAACAACTATTCTAAATCCTCTCAGGTACCAGATAACTGCTATGATATGCCCTGCCAAAACTTAGAACACAAGACTGAGACAACACATGTACATATGCTTTAAACTACTACAGTCACCAAAATGCCAGTGTGGGGAAGCAGACCCCATTGTGGAACACGACATCATCTAGCAATCCAGGACACACAAAACCCTGAGACAGGAAAAGTGGCCAACTCCTTTAATACTAAAGGAGAAGCAATACGGACCGACAGAAGAACTGAGCAGGACGGCCCAGTTTGATAGATACCATACGTCAAGTGTGATGGGATCGAAAATGTAGTTAAAATAGATGCTCCTTCTAACAATTATGAAAGCCAGTACAATCATACAACTCTACAAAACCTGAGTGTTGAAAGTACCGCTGCCCGGGGGGGGGGGGGGGGGAGAAAATTTTAATTCCAACTTTGATGAGTCTGAATTGAAGTTAGCCGTTGCTACACTTTGTTGTAATAGTTGTTTACTTCATATCTACTTTTCAATCGCTTACAGGCATGTCCTGACATGTTATGAATCACAGTCCTATCATTTAACATTTTTTATGCCCTAGACTGTCCAATGAAGTGTCATTTTTTCCACCAGAACTTCACTATTACCTTAATTACAGCCACAACCACAATGCCGTCATCAGGCGCAACAGAGAGAAAGACTGTGTAAAAAGTGAGAAGCAATAATGATTTTAAGTGAAGCATTAGATCTTTCTTACGCGAGTCCGTTCAGTTATGACTCAATCACATAACCACTGATTCATTTTTTAAAACTTTACATAATACTGAATGCGCCAGAAAAAAAAGAGGTGGGATTGTGAGGGGGAAAGGGGGGGGGGGGCATGTTATCTACATACACTGTTAGGCCTAGCGGGAGAAATGTGGCTCAGAGGAACAGTGCTCGTCTTTCATGCCAAGGGCACCGGGTTTGGCCCCGGTCTTTTTCGGCATGTCCCTCACTAATTCATTCACTCGCTCAATCTCTTCTTTCCGTCACACCCTTGATCTTAACCTGGGTGCCGTCGAGGTCCGTGTGCACACTGTGCATGTTAAAGATCTCTTAGTGATGACAAAATAGTAGCAGAGTAGACCAATCGAGCACCACGTGGGCAAAATTCAAAAATTTTAAAAATTCTGTACCTCCCCCCCCCCCCCAAATCAGGATATTAAAAAATCCATATCACAACTCTAAAACACGGAGTCACACCTTTACATCTTCCGTGATCCCAAACGTACTATGTCTATCTTTGGAACATATTATATAATCAGGGCAGTCAAACTCGAAGTAGTAGGCTACTTGGGCAATCTACTTTCTCTATGTCTACCGCACAGGGAAAGCTGTATTTCGCATACTACAATAGTCATCATTGATATCGATGCACAGCCGAAGAAAAAGATTAAGTTCGAGGGAGAATTATAACACAAAACATTATGCATTCTCTTATCAATTCTGTGGACAGACATTTACCCTTTTGTGACAAAGGCAAGAAAAATACGCCTCTGAAAAGTCTTATCATACGTTTCCCAGAGCCTATAAAAGGGTACAACTGACACCGATGTGTGCTCGCAGAAGTCGGTAGAACAGCTTTGTTACTTTATACACTGCACTGTTCACAGCAAGATGTTGACGTGGGTCGCTCTTCTTGCGCTCTTGGGAGCCAGCCAAGCTTTTCTGCTTGACTCCTTTCGTCGTAAGTACGCTGTACTCTTGATAAACTTGATCACATTGCTTTATTTGTATGTTCATTGGTTATTAATGCCATTTTCGCATCTTTAAGGCCCGACCGTGCTGTTTACTCTTCTCTCGCCGTTCTGATAAATGTGTTACATGTACAGGGTGATTAACAAAAACAAAAAACTGTACAACTTTGTTTTGTAAATATCTCGTGCAAAATTTGTACTAGAATGTCGTAATTTGATATAGAAAGAATTCATTCAAAGTGAATTTGTTTGACATACAATTCACAAAGAAGAAACTTATTTCTGAAAACAGAAATGGCTTTTAAGGGAACCATCTATAAATATGCAAAATGCACCAATTTAAAAGATAAGCAAAGTCATGAAATAATTGGGTTGATTTTTCCTTTCCTTATATTTTTTAAATCTAATCGCTCCATCCCTGTAGCCTTTAAACAATAAGCTCATTTCTTTTCTCCTACAGAGTTAAAATGTTCTTTAAATTCTGAAATCCCGAGAACCAATGGTATATATTATGTCCTCCTTTGGATTCGACACATTTTAATGCGTCATTCGTATTGTTCAACGGTGGCCAAACACAAAGATCCACTCAACCATGAGTGCTCAAAGCCACACACAATGTACCCCTTATAGTATGAAGCTGTTTCTAGAGCCAATTGGGGGGGGGGGGGGGGGGGGGGAGGTTGCCCAAATAGACAGCATTTGTGGATTTGATATAGCCTGAAAGGTGAATATGGGCTTTGCCAAGGAACCAAATGTCATAAAGGAAATATTCACGCTTTTCAAGACGATCGAGGAATTATGAACACTTTGCACCCCCTGCTAGTTGAGATGTAGGAAAGCCATTTGAGCAGACATCGTCTACAGACAGACGTCTCATGGGGCTCATCTATTGAATTCTGCTCCCTGGTGACGTTTAAAGGGGTACGAACAGTATGCGTTTGTCCTGAAATGGTCGTTTTGTCTGTGAATTTGTAGTTCTTGTTCGCCACAGGTACTAACTGATGGACCATTTCCACCTTTGACATCAAAGGCCTTAAGGGCACTTTAACCCAAAAAGTGTACCGTTTTTATTTTTAAATTTTTAACCTTTTTTTTTTTTTTGGGGGGGGGGGGGTGACCATAATTTTATAAGACCACATGAGTGCAAACATTCATTCTGCATATGTATACATGCCTATATGTACAAACATAAACACACTCACTGCTTTTCCATATGCAAACATGCCTATCTACATTCTAGGTGCTGTATAGTACAACATTTTTCTATACTAATGTAACGTTATTTTCATCTTGAGCCAGTCACAACACTATAGATGATAGTTTTACTCTTAACTGAAGGCCTGGGCATAGGATGGCGGGGTAGGAAATATGCCCTTTGTTAGTTCTGCACTACATCCCTCCACATCCGGATTGAAACGATGTGCACGACAAAATGGATCACAGTCTTTCACTGAAAGTGAAAGAAGAATCAACAACGATCTACTTTCAATGTTGATTATTATTATTTATGTTGATGACATTTTTACTAGTACATTTATCCATAGACAGCGAAAGATTTTTTAAAAGTACATGTATGTTAGTGTTTAAACGCATGAAAAATGGTTGCTTGCACTGCATGATTCCCAAGAAATTGAGATTGTTTAATAACGCTATCATTATAATATATTGCAAAACGAATAGAGCTTGTTTTTGAGCGTGGATTTTCGTTATGCAAATTTTTAATGCTATTTATTATAATCTCCGATGGAAGATTAACAAATTCCTTAACATACAACCTTGTTTTGTCAGTAGGCTACTTTGATAGCGCTCTATTTTTTGATTTTTTAAAATAAACAGCACTACCATTGTGTTCAATTAACAATGCCATTGAACTGGAGTATAAAGTAAAGCCCTGGATGCAATGTTATATCATGGATGAAATATTGTACAAGGCGAGAAAAACTATTTTAAAAAAACGAAAAAAAAAAAAACGAGACAGAAAAGCCGGAATGGAACAAAGTAAAAAATTTTTTGTTAGGGGGGAGGTATGTAGACCCTATTTGCAGATTCTCAGATAGGATTCCAGTTAAAGTTGTAGCAATCATTCTAGATTTCTAGTCAAACAACAGAGAGAGCAACGAAAGAATCTCGAGTAACCGAATTATGTGTTTGTCTTACTTGGGAAGGTGACCTTCAGATGCACTTGTGACCTTTTCGAACACACATAAAGGTTACGTCGTGGGCACTCAGGTATTCTAACAGGTGGAAAAGAACCCATCGGTATCAGAACCGGTGGGAACCCGAACTGTAATTCCCTCTGATGTAATCTGTTCACTACAGCCAAATGTGTAGGCCATGTGCACATGTCAGTACTGATAAGGCCAGTTCTCATTTGGCGGGATTCATATTTCAGTGTGGATAGGAAGGGGGGGGGGGGGCAGAAATTGACAAATGTATCTCATATCTCACCTCAATAGGCAAGCCAAGCATTAATTTTCATGAGCTTTTAAACTGGCCAGCTCCAGAACAGCCACCAGACATACCCCTAGAAGTTGTAAAACTTGAACATAATCTGTAATGACCCCTAAAACTAAAGAAGTCAGGCAGACACCTCCTCATCTCCGAAATGGATATTCTGAAAAGCGACCTGACTATGTCATTTCATATGCACTAAAAACAGTTAAGGAGTCAAAAGGTAACATCCTCTATACACTTTTTGAAAAAGATCTGAGACAAAAGAGAATTCCCAAAAGGCTGGAAAGAATGAGACCTCATCAAACTCCCCAAGAAAGGTGATTTACTGAGCAACTGTAGATATATCTGGAAGTGCATGAAAAAGACCGTGCACCCACACCTAAGAGACAACCAAACAGGGTAAAAAAAGAACAGATTTTGCAGGTGAATAGACCAAATTGTGTTTGTAAGAATAATTGCTGAGCAGTGACTGGAATAGAACTCATAACTTATAATTATCTCTGTAGACTATGAGCAAGCATTCAACAGCATCCATTTCATCGAGACACCTTGGGGAAAATTCTTTGACATTATTATGGCTTCCCGGAAAAACTGGTCAGAGCAATCCATAAAATACTCCAAAGATACATGCTGCAGAGTCACCCACAAAGGCCAGTTTACCAACAGCTTCGGATACACACAGGAATGAAACAGGGGTATTTACTGTCACCTTTCTCTTAACCATCGATTGGATCACAATAAAGACCACAGAACGCAGAAAGACAAGGAATACAATAGACATTAAGGACCCAACTTGAAGACTTGAACTCTTCGGGTGATTTTTCTTTATCTTCACACATTTATTATTAACAGATGAAGGAGAAAACGAGAGTTTTCAACAATACCCCACAGATGACATGCTTCCAAGTATATCCAAACAAGATCAAGATACATTGTACTGGCACTAAAAATCAGGATTATCACCAATGATGAAATTACTATCACAAAATAGCGTTAGAGGAAGTTGATTCCTTAACTTAGTAGATCCACCTAGAAAGCTTCAGAGACAGGGTTGGGGGAGGGGGGGGGGAGACACAAATGTAAAGACAATAATAGGAAAAGTAAGAGATGCTTTCACACCTGGATATTCCACACAAGGTGTCAAAAGTGTTCTACTCTTTGGACTGAAAACATAGAAACTCACTAATCTAACTTAACATAAAAAGCTACTGGCATTTGTCAGCTGTTGCGTTAAAAGATCCTAAAAAATAGGTCACCTGAAAACACTTTCGTACAAGCTTCTAGATATGGATGCCCTCCAGAATATAATTATACCGTCATAACCCCCCCCCCCCTTCCCTCTTTTTGCATCAAATGCCACGAAACAGCGTCTTAAGACAATGTATTATTAGCCCGAAGGTCTTGGCTCCATAAATTTTTGTCCACTTTGAATGAGTCACAAAAAAAAAAAATCGGTCCTTCCGAATAAAGAGGCATTTAACTTCGGTTCACAAGACTTTTACCATACCTAGCAATGCAGAAAATAATCTCAGAACTCACAAGTATTTCGGTAAAGATACAGTCTTGTGTGCCTTCCCTCAATCTGTTTGCAAGGCATTATATTATGTTGTCTGTCATAAATTTTTCCTTTCGTCTTTTTTTTCCAGAGGAAAAGTGGGACGCTTTGAAAGGTGAGTTATTTTAAACTCTTTAAAAAAATAGCCCAGGCTTAAAATTTATGGGCGTTCAGGGAGTCTAATCATCTAACGATATAGCCTACTATTTAATATCTATAATATAATTTGGTGTTGCTTCTGATGAAATTGTTGTTGTTGCTGCCGGATTTGTTTTTGTTTTTGTTGTTCCTGTTGTTGTTGCTGCTTTTGCTGCTGTTGTTGTTGTTTTTGTTTTTGTCGTTGTTGTTGTTGTTGTTGTTGTTGTTGTTATTGCTGCTGCTGTTGCTGTTGCTGCTATTGTTGCTGTTGTTGTTGTTTCTGTTGTCAAGCTGAAGATTGTGTCCATGCAACAAAATTGCCGCCTCTCTCGTGGAATAAAAATGTACGGTAAATAAGTATTATTGTAATAATTCATTTTGTAAAGAGCTTTTTTGGG